CCTTTCGTGGGTTGCACGAGGTGTTATTAGAATTTGTTTGGCTGGGACTGTCTTGTTTTCACACCTCGGGTTCATGTTCTAAGGACAGTGTGTTGTTTTTCGAACAGTTTGAGGTTCGAAGAACATCTCGCGGTAGCCCTAAAGGAGTCCCGGGACGGTCGGTCCCTGCTCAAACCCAGAGCCTTCAAGAAGGATCTCGGCGCGTTCTGGAACACCCTGAGAAGGTCGCGGCGCCCGACGCACCTTCATGAGCTCCCCGACCTCAGAGGCCCCCGATCTGCCCCGGCGCGATGCTGCCCCGACCTTGAACGAAGGATTGCAAAAAAAACGAAGGATTGCAAAAAAACGAAGGATTTTTGTTTGCAATCCCTCGTTTTTTTGCAATCCTTCGTTTTTGTTGCAATCCTTCGTTTTTTTTGCAATCCTTCGTTCAAGGTTTTTTTTTGCAATCCTTCGTTTTTTTGCAATCGCTTCGCCCTGCACCCCTGGCGGGAGGCATGATGCTGCGGAACGCCATGATGTCCTCCATCCCCGCGGCGCGGTCCGCGGCGTCCTCGGCGGGCCCGGAGGCCCGGCCCCCGCCCCCGAGCCGCTCCGCGGGCCGAGCGGGGGGCGCGGAGGTGCCCTGCGGGGGGCGCGGCAGCCGAGGGCTGCGGTGCTGCGGCAGGGCGGAGGCGGGCCCGGCGAGGCAGCGGCGGCCCTCCCCGGCGTCCTGTGCCCTTTTGCTGCCAGCGGCACCGGCACGGGCAGTTTACTTGCTTGCTGACGGGCACTCTGCAATGTGGCCGCGGGTTGCCCCTCTCTCGGGGCCTCCTTCTGGCAGTGCGGCGTGGCCCGCATCGGGAAGGGTTGGGCTCGCTGGGTCACTGACCAAAGTGCCCGTCAGTGGAGTCCCCGTTTGAGGGGCGCTGTTCCTGGCCTTCGTGCGGCCGTCTCGGCGCCACGGCCGGGTCCGCGTCGGAGGACGGGTCAGGACGGACCCCATGAGGGATTTGGTCACCGACGTTGCAGTGGAGACCCTTGCCAAGAAACACCCTGCTTGCCTCCAGGGTGCCCTGGGCCTCCTAGGGTTTTTTGAATGGGTCTGCGGTGGAAGGCGCGACGTTCCGCACCAAGATCGGGCCGGGCAAAAGGGGTGGATTGGGAAAGGGGGGGTTACGAAATCTGCTGCATGCAGCTGGTTTCGGCCTCACCGAGGGGCCCATTCCTCGATACATAGCCGCTTCCGGCGCCGGGAGGCGCCGGGAAAATCAGCTACGTGAGCTGATCCTCAAACCCCCCCTTTGCTATCCCCCCCTTTCGCCCGACCCGAAAGAGACAGTGGACGTCCTGGGGTCTCGGGGTTGGGTGTCTCGCGGAAGGTTTCTCGTGCACTGGCCTCCTACGGTGCTCAGATGCAGGCTGGGCGGGAGGGCCGCCGCTGTCTCGGCTGGCCCCCCTCCCAGCCGAGCACGGCGGCCCGTGCATCCTGGCCTGCTCGGCCCCGTGTTTGGGCCTGCCTCCTCTGCTGTTGGTGGGCAGGGGCGTCCCGTGGTCTTGTCGGGGGAGGAAAAGGTGCCCATACCTCTACCCTTCGCCCGTTTCCCCCTTCTTGGGCCTCCTGGGAGGCCCTCGTCGCCACCGCCGGATTCGCCTCGAAATCCTGGTCAGAACGCACCCCGGGAGAGGTCCGGGGAGTAGCGGTATCGGTACCTGTTGGGTTTCCCATCTTGCACCCCTGCCCGGAGCTCTTGCTCGTCAGAGTGGCTGAGGATGATGGGGATCGGGATGGTAGAAGGGTTTTTTCCTCCGCCTCCTTTTGGTTCCTTGCTTCCTCCCTCCCCCCCTACTCGTGGTGGTGGACGGAGGAAGAGGCGGGGGAGGCAGACAGAACTAGGGTAAAGACAGATCCCTCCAGAGCGTTTCGGAGCGATCTCGCGATCTCAGAGCGTTCGGTATCACTCTGAATCTGCTGCAATGCCTGATACATCCTTCAGACCCCTGGCTCTCAGAGGCCAGGATTTATCTATGGCTCATGCTTTCTGCACATCGCCTTTGGATTCGGACTGGTGATGAGGATTCTGATGCACAGGTGCAGGGCATCGTCCTCTGATTTCGGAGCACCCGTGCGGGGCTGGGCCGCCACAGCTCTGTATGAAGGGTGTCGGGGGTGTCGGGGAGGGTGTCGAGGGTTGAGCGACGTCGGGGGAGGGGGTTGAGACAGTTGTGACACGGGTGTCCATCTGTGCGCCACTCATGAGTAGAGGGGGTACGGGAGTTGTGTTCAAGACGCACATGTGCCAAACCAGCATGACAACACATGTTGGCCGTGCAGGTCGATAATTATGCGTGCGTCGTGTGCTCGCTAATGTCTCATGGCCAAGGCAACTGCGTCTCGTTGTTTCTTCCCCCCTGGCTCGTGTGAATTCCCAGAGCTGTCCCAAGATATCCAGGGTAGTTGCCCTGAGGCCTTGGACTTAAGTCGGGCACGTCCCCCTACAGAGGGAATATTCCAAAACAG